ATGCTGGCACTCCCCTGATTCATGTCTAAAATCCATATATGAGTGAGTACATACCATGCTTCTCTTTTTGTGACTGGGTTACCTCACTCAGGATGGTTTCTTCTAGTGCCATCCATTTGCCTGCAAATTTCAAGATTCCATTGTTTTTTTTTTTTTTGCTGAATATTACTCCATTGTGTAAATCTACCACATTTTCTTTATCCACTCTTCAGTTGAGGGAGTTCTATGTTGCTTCCAGGTTCTGGCTATTACAAATAATGCTGCTATAAACATAGTGAAACAGATGTCCTTGTATTAATGTGCATCTTTTGGGTATATGGAAAAGGCATACTTTTATCTACATTTGGGTTTTGCTTTGACTCGTATTCAAGGCCAACATCCAACCTTCTGGGCAACTACACACTTCCCAGGTGTAGGGGGTTTCAGGGGGCTAAGTCAAACCTTGCTTGAGACTTTCATCCACCTGCTCCGGGTTACCTGTGGATACACAGTGTGGTGGGCCCTGAGCCCAAGTTGCCTGATCCCAAATAAATAACGAATGGGACCTGAAAGCACAATGACAGTTCATCATCTGGACCAAGGCAGGCAAATCCCAGTAGGGGCCAGCTCCCTGATTTAAGCCCTATGTTAACTGTCCAGCTTCCACCAAAGGGCAAAGGTAAATGTCTAGACCCCGCAAGTGTTTGGCTAAACACCACCCTTTCCATCTGGTGACCTCCTTGGGGAAAATTATACTACTGTGTCTCCATTACTAGTTCATTTACATCTACATTAGGAAAAAAATAAAATATGGCAGACACTTTTGCTCTGTGTACTAATACTGATACTTACCCTTAATTTAGATATCTGAGTTTTAACCCATTTCCATACATTTTCAAACTTTCAGGAAGATTGTGAAACAGACTGAAGCAAGCAAGCACTCCAAATCTTTTACAGCCAGCTGTTTTCACCCTCACCTAAAGTTTTTAACAGATGTTACAGAAATCTCAATTTTATATTTCCATGTAGACTGTGGCCATTATTTTTGAGACTATTTTAACTTTGTTTGATTATTTTACTGATAGATGTGGATCATAGCTACGTACTGAAGAGATAGTTTAGTGGTTAAGAGCAGTGGCTGCTCTTCCAGAGGACCAGGGTTGGTTTGCCACACTTGAGTGGGGGGGTGCTCACAACAGTCTAACTCCAATTCCATGGGATACAGCACCCTCTTCTGGCCTCTCTGAGCACTGCATGCACATGGTGCACAAAACATCACAACTCAATGAATTGGTGACAACAAAAAATATATCCTGGATGATGAATATAGATCTATATGAACAAAAATGTGTTTATATTTTAGCAATACTTAAAATAACTGAATAATATTCCTCTTCCTATCAGATAACAGAACCGTTTATGAAGCTTGGCTAGGTGAGTAATTCTGGAGATCACACCAATAACCAAGACATCCTTCTTTTTTTTTTATCTTAATACAAACTGTTAATGAAAATAAACTTTATTACATCAAGTAATAAATACAAAGATGCAACAGTTTCAGTCATTTTCTTCCAGATGTTGTGATGTCTCACAGTAAAGATGGAACTGAGATCTACAGTCTTCAGGATGAACATTTGCAGGGCGCTTGGTAGGTTGGATAGATTGCTCCTTCTTCTGTATCTATAACTTGTGCATTTTAAAGATTGACGTCAAAGCACTCAGTCATGCAAACCCTTAAGCAGAGAAGCTCCGTGAAGCAGGGTCTACACTGTACACAGGGGGGCCAGCTACTAAGCAAACGTCCTGTGGTTTGCACTCAAGTCCTCAGAGGCAGGTGAGCGCATGGAAAGGAAGTCAACAGGGGTGATGCAAATGGTAACTGTGTCCAAAGGGAGAATCAAGGAGACACTGGTATTTGGGAGCAAACAATAGCTTGCTGTGAAGTAGCTTCACAGACATCTTTCAGATCAATGCTTGGAAAGAAAAAAGAGCTGGCTGATCCTAACTACTTAAAATGCACTTTGTCAGTAACTATAAAATGTCTTCCAGTCTTTTGAATGTGAGTTCAGAGCTTAATTACCATTGCAGGAAAACTACTGCCATTTTGAACAAAGCCTCTCATCTCCACGGGGTTCCGAGATGAGCCTTCAGACTGGCCAGCGGCAGAACCTGGCATTATGTTCCGTTTCAGCCAAGCACTACCAAACCAGGCTTCGGGCATGAATGATGCCTAGTTTTAGTCTTTCCATGGTGCTCTTGCTCCCGGCATAAGTGGGTCTGATCTCTTTCCCCAACTCTTCAATGATGGCCAGCAGCTCTGCGTATTCGCTATGAGGCACCTAGCTATTTCCAGTTCCCTGGGTGTAGCCTAGTGACGGTGGCCTGCAGGCACTCAGCAGCTGACGATATTGGGAGGATGTTGCCATGCTAGTAGAAGGCGAGTGGACACTTCTGGCGATGAGGGCGTCGAGGGGCATGTGCGCGGTCAAGTTCCGCTTGTACGACATCCCCTCCCGGCGGGCGCACGGGGCAGAGCCGGGCCAGGCTGCCAGCGCAGTAGCGGCGGCGGCGAGACCGAGGACCGGGCTGGACGGCCCCATGTCCCCGGGCCCGTGCACTTTTTGTTCTCTTTACTCACTGAGCCATCTTAACAGCCCATCCTTGGTTCTTTAAATACCTGCATTCCCCAGCTTACAAACGGCACAGTGGTTTTACTCATGGTTCTCCTAAGAATGAGATAATTCTTCAGAATCTTTCTCACTTTTCACATCGTTGTCTCCCTTGCAAATAAATCAAAGAGACATGAAAGGGGACATGAAAAGACACCGTAAGAATGAGGGGAGAGGAGGTCAGAAGAGTCTTGTGGGCTGAATGGTGCTTACTTCCTGTTTTCCTTTCTCAATGATGGAACCAGACAATGAAGGGTTAGCACAGGTCTTAAGCAAAAGGTAACATCCCAGTAGGGAAGGACACTTGGGGGGATCTGAGAGCCACTTCGATTTGTACAGAAGTCACTGGGCATTTTAAAAGGATACTGGGAGGCTGTCAAGAAAGCTTAGCAGGTAAAATCACTTGCCACCAAGCCTGACTACTAGAGTGAGTTCAGTCCCTGGAACCCACATTGTGGAAGGAAAGAACCAACTTCCACAACCTGTCCTGTGACCTCACGTGTGCCACAGTGCACATACATGCAATTTAGCACACACACTGTAGTTAAAGGATCATAGGGGAGTGGGACCGGGAAGGACTTCATAGTCACAGGATAGAGGAATGTATAAGGCAGAAGGTCTCATGGGGTCCCCTGGACTTGTTCACCAGCATTTAGAGATAAGTTCCTACTTTTCCATGAAGCTGGGTGAACCCAACCACAGTGGCTAATGTCCCAGCAGGATTGGACAAAGGGATGCCTAATGACTTGGTAACATTGTTCCTGGGTGTCTACGTAACAGTGCACTGGAGAAATTATCAGTGGGTAAAGAAGAGCCCTGCTTACCGATGTGGATGGCCACTACCCAATTCTGCTGAGAGCCTCTTGGAGCAAGGGACAGCAGGCAGGAAATCATGAGCACAAAGCTCAGTCCTAAACTAATACTGGCACTTGAGAGACTGAGGCAGAAGCCAAGTTCTAGTCCAGCCTGGATATCCTGTCTCACAAAAAAAAAAAAATCAACATAAAGTTGAAATCTGCCTCCCTGTTCAGCTGCTGCATCAGTTAACCTGGGGTTCCTGTGATAAAGTATCATGACCAGGAAGGAGAAACTTAAGGAAGAAAACTGATTTGGGCTAAGGGTTTAGGTGAGGCGTTGGTATCAGGCAGCTGGAGCAGGAAGCTAACAGACCCCTTTTTAGCCACACCTAGGAAACAGGGGATAAACTGGAAGTGGATTGAGGCTATAAACCCTCAAACTCTGCCCCCAATAACACCCTTCCTCCATCAAGGCTCCACCTCCTTAACCTTCTCAAACACCACCACCAACGGGGGACCAAGAATACAAACTCATGAGCCTATTGGGGCATTTCTCATTCAAACAATCATAGCTGGTATTGAGGAATTTAGAAGACGTCGTTTGCTTTTCTAACGCTGGTGACAATATCAGGACCAAAAGCAACACGAGAGGAAAAGATTTCAGCTTACAGGTAGAGTTCATCAGAAAGAGAAATTAGGGTGGAACCCTGGAGGCAGGAACTGAAGCCGGGGCCACGAGTGAGCACTGCTTACTAGATTGCTTTCTTAAGGCATCCAGGAACGCCTGTTCAGGCATGGCACCAACCACTGGACCCTCCCACATACAACAAGAAAAATGCCCTAGAGCAATGGTTCTCAACCTGTGGGTTTCAGCCCCTCTGGGGTCACATATCAGATATCCTACATATCAGATATTTACATTATGATTCATAACAGCAAAATTACAGTTATGAAGTAGCAATGAAGTAATTTTATGATTGGGAGTCACTACAGCATGAGCTGTATTAAAGGGTTGCTGTGACAGGAAGGTTGAAAGCCTTCCTCAGTTGTGTCCCTCTTGATACTAGCTGTATCAAGTTGACAACAACATGACATACAATAAACCAGGACAGAAGAGGAGGGAGACGCTGTCGATTGGATGGTGAAAAGGGAGCAGCCACTTGAGGTTCATCAGATTGTCTTTCTATGTGTTCCCCAAAAATGTCAGCTAAGAAACATTTTGTTTCCCAGCTACAGGTATTTTGTTATCACAACAGGAAATGAACTAACACAGCCATCAAAAAGACAAGGAAGTGATAGTATGATTCCGTTTATTTTAAATTCCAGAAGAGGTAAAGGGTAAAAGGGTTCATCACATAGATGTGCCAAATAGGACACCAAGAGAAAATGAAAGTTCTCAATTCAATGGTCTCATCAGGATGGCTAAATGGTCTAAGGCGCCAGACTTAACTCAATGGACTCAGTAATACTCCACAATTTAAATGATCTGACTTCAAATTAAGTCCAAGAACCCAAGAGGGGAAATCAAAACAAAATAAAAACTCCACAGATCAAGTTTCAATAAATTCAAGGAAACTTTAATGGCAAAAGACTGATTTCTTGGTGGCACTGCTACGTGACTGTACACTTTGACCAACGCTCACCACACTGCACCCTTCACACAAAGAAGCTGAAGGCTGGAGAGACGGTTCCGAAGAGGACCTGCTGCTGCGTCTTAAGAGCAGGAGTGCTAATTCCAGCACCCATGTGTACACACACATGCACACACGCACACACAAATTTTGGGGGGGGTTGTTTTTACAAGACACAATTTCCCTGTGTAGCCCTGACTGCCCTGGAACTCTGCTGGCCTTGAACTCAGGTATCTGCCTGCCTTTGGTTCCCAAGTGCTGGAATTAAAAGCATAGGCCACCTTCTGGTATGCTGACATACATGCAGACAAAACCCATATACTTCAAATATATAAACCTTTAAATAAAAACTGTCCAGGCAGTGGTGGCACACTCCTTTAACCCAGCATGCAGGAGGTAGAGGCAGGCAGATCTCTAGTCTATACATAAATTTTTTTAACTAGCAAATTTGTTGCATATAAATATCACACTGATGAACAAAGAAGGAAAAAATAAAAACATTATCACCCCATGTTTGAAAAACTATAATGTGCAGGTGACAAGGCCAGGGTTCTTTTATTGAGCCCCTCTCTTCTCCCTTTTCTTCCTATATAAATGCCAGCCTCTCTCCAAAGCCCAGCTCAGGGTCACCTGTACCTGTGACATTTCCTTGCTACTCCACAGACTAACCCTGGCTGTGCTCGTGACTGTGAACCCGAAACCCTAGATGTTCTTCAGCTGTGTCTGAGGACCTTGTCTCTCTGAAACATGTGTAACTGTTACAGCACTTATGGGCAATGACTCCTCATTCTGAGGAGCTATTCCAATGCAAAAGGGTGTGCCCACCACTCAGCCAGTGCCCTTCAACTCCAACCCACTATGGTAAGTTGAGTATCACCGAGATATGTTGAGTCTGGACCCCTCACACCTGTGACCGGGATCATTTGGAGGAAAAGAGTCTCTGTAGATGCAATTAAGTTATAATCCTCAGGGTGGAGTCAGCCTGTGCTAAGTGTGTCTAAGAGAAAACTTTTAAAGAAAAACACAGAGAGGAGCTGGCCATACAATGACAGGGCAGCCTTTGTGGGGATGCCCCTGCCAGCCAAGGAGGGCTGGACTCCACCACACACTGGGAGAGAGGCCTGGAGTAGATTTTCCAGTGCTTCCCAGAGAGGCCAACCCTGCCAACATTTTGGTTCAATTTCTGGTCTCCAGAACATGGAGGGAAGAGCCCTTAATGGATTTTAGGCCAGATCATTTAACCTTATACCCCAGTTCCCCTGGAGTGAGGACCTGAACGCCACATAGATCCCACCAACAGATCCCTGCTCGAAATTATAACAAACACGAAGAGGAAACGTTGGGTCTAGGGGATAGTATGACTGTGTGTTTCTCTCAGGGCCTGCAGCCTCACAGCACTGGGCAGACTGCATTTCTCAGCACCTGTGGAACAAGCACCATAGAACAGCATCTCACTCCCGGGGCTCTTTTCTCCCTTCTGCTCGCAGTCTCGGAGTGGAAGACTCTCAGGTAGCTGAGAGCTGGTTCATGGTGTAGCTTTGCTTCTGTGTTCTCAAATGTCTGTTAACACCCGCTTCTAGTCTGTTTTCGCTGCCAACACTGTTGTGGTTTCTGTCCTCACTGATCTCTGACCACAGCCCTAGGAATCTTGGGACCTCTGCCTTTGAGTTTTAACAGGAAGAAAAAGAAGGGGAGGAGGGAGAGAAAAGCAGGGAGGAAGGAAAAGATGGACAAGATGGAGGAAGAGTAAGGAGAGGGTAAGACTCGGCTATCAAGCAGCCACAGCACATCCACCCGAGCTGGACATTCTACATATGCCACTAAGAACACGGCAAAAACATCTCTGTTGTGCTTATTGTATTGTTTCCTCACTGAGTGAGGCCAGCCATGACAAAGTACCTCAGCATAGGAAGTCACACGATTCTCACTCTGCAGGAACCACTTTCTAAGTTCCTGAAGCTAGAAATCCAAGACTGCTGGTCTCCTTGGCTGGTAAGAGGCACATCTCTAAATCCCCACAGAGTGCTTGGCTGGTAAGTGGCACATCTCTAAGTCCCCACAGTGTGTGTGCCCCAATCTCCTCTCATAGAAGAACACTAGGTTCTCTCTTTCAATGCTTTATCTCCAATTACAGCACCTTCAGAAATCCTGGGTGGGGAGAGGATAGGGGGTCAGTATTCAGCACAGAAATTTGGCAGAGGCAGCATACCCAGCCCCTGGGGTCTTGTGAAATTCCCACACATGGATGTGATAAATAATACCAGGAGCCAGGGTGCTCAAGAAGGCAAGAGCCTCTCTCCTAAGGATGTCTTGGGAGCCCCCAGGGAGGTCAAGGACCTTCAGAGGATCCTGTGTCTTCTTCAGTCTCTCTGACCACTGAGCAGATGGTCAGGGGCCTGGGGTCATGGGTCCAGAGGCAGAAGAATGGCTGTAAGGGACCAGAAAAAGACAGCCCAGAGAACATATAGATAAGGGAGCCATTGGCTGCATTGTGAAAGGAGATTTCCCCTGCCTCAAAGTCTAAGAAGATGCCCACACGACAGAGGGGTTGCGGAAGAGACAGGTGAGTCCTGGGGTAAGAGAGGGCCTGGAGCCTCTTCTTATAAAACTCCAGTGCCCAGAGGCCATGCTGAGGTGACTTAGGGATCCTACCTTCCCGTCCCAAACTTTCCAGACACACACCCAGAATCCAGGCCCTCCTGTCCCCAACTTCCACTTCCCAGTAATGTCTCCCTGCATCAAATCGCTCTTGGGCCAGGATGCAGGGGTCTTGGTCAAATCTTTTGGAACTAGGAGACAGGTCCTGGTCAAATAGCAACCGCTTCACACTTTTCTGATCCTCAGACACCATGAGTTTGGGACTCGCGGTTTCAGGGTCCAGGGACAGGCTGGCTGTGGAGAGAGGAAAGTGTCAGATGTGGGGGCTTCTGCCATCTTTGCCCCACATAGATGAGGGATCCAAGGTTTGTCTGCTACATGAAGAAGGTTTCCCTTCCACTTCTAGAAATCTGCTACTGTCCCCACTTAAACTGTTTTTGTTATTCCCCAAACAGTGAGGGAGGCAGGAGTAAAGAATGCTTGAGGAGGTGTGAGCAGTTCCCAGTGTGCACTAAACTCTGAGTCTCAGGCTCTGGCTGGGAGAGACAGAGACAGAGAGACACCACTTCCAGCAGACAGAAAACTTGCAATTCACACCCACAGATGTGGGTTTTTCTGTGGGTTGCATGTGACTGGGATGCGTCCTCAAGGTCTGCGTGTTAGGAGTCTGGCCCTCATTGTGACTAGTGGGAGGTGGGGGAACCTTTAGGAGGTGGAACCTCAGCCAAGGTAATGACCTCATGGGAACGTCCTTTAGTTCTCTGGGGACCCTGGCTAGTTCCCATGTGATCCTGATCCCCAAATCCCTTGCTTATTCTGTCTTGCTATATACCATAATTTGACACAACCAAGGAGCCCTCACCACATGGACCACGTGATCTTGGGCATGTAGGCCCCCAAATGTGAGCTAAATAACATTCCTTTACACATGACAGAGCCTCGGATATTTTGTTTCACTAGTGGAAAAATTATAAGCCCAAGCTTCAAGCTCTTGTCTATCCATTCCCCAGAAGGAGGCCCTGTAGACTGTCCAAAATCATCTTGTGAAGGATAATTAGCAAGGAATCTCTCAGGGGTGAAGGGTTTCTGTTGGGCCCAAGAAAGTCTTGGATGCGAGGCCTAGTGTAACCTCCTGAGCCTGGCTAGAGTTTGGTGACCTGTCTCTAACCTGTAACCTCCACGCGGGGGTGACTCAGCCATATTTGAGGCAAGATTGCCCCCTGCCTAGCTACCTGCCTGCTTGGTGGAATACTATTGGCCCTTAACTCCTCACATCACCTTACCCTATCCTATGTTTCCCATCCCCTACCTCAGTCCTATATAAGTTCCTGCGTGTTGGAATAAATCGAGATCCTGCTTCGACAGACTCCCGACTCAGTGTGGTTTTTCTCCCTGGTAACTAATGGGGGGGAGGGTCTGAGTCGTCAACACTCATCATCCTGCTCAGCCTCCGGAAAGAGGCCGGCTGGACCGGCCCTTTCCCTGCTCTACCTGCAGGAAGGACCCTGCAGGTTTCCTCTGGGTGGGTTGAGGTTGGGAAATTCCGGAGTCAAAATCCCCACTAGTCATTCCATTCCCGCTGTGTTGGATCATAAAAATATAAAGCCTCAGACCAGAGCTTGGCGTCCAGGTCTCCGGAGTGAGGGTCAGGTACACTCACCATGGAAGGGCTCAACGTCAGCACTGGCTCCTGGGCTCACTTCTTCTTCCTCCTCACTTTTATCCTCTTTGTGTGATCTCCCGAAGGCACAGGCTATTGCTGCCGTGACAAGCCCCAGAGCCGCAAGGATCAGAGGCAGAACTGGTCCCCTCTCGGTGGACAGAGGCCTTCTGAACAGGGGGGCTAAGAGGATTCCAGGGCATCAAAAATAACACACACACAAACAACAACAACCCAGATTCAAGGGACACAGAGTTCATAGACCTTTCTCAAAAGGGTTCAGAAAAAAAAAATGAGATAATGAGATGTCTTCCGATACATAGTGCTATAGCCTGCAGGTTTGTGTCCTCCAAAACATTGAAATTTCAGTCTCTTAGATGATGGTGCAGGCAGACTGTGGGAGGTGGGGAAGGACTGTGGGAGGTTACCAGGATCAGTGCCCTTAGGAGAAGTACCTCAGAGAAGTCCTGGCCCTTCCTCCGCACAAGGACAACACTGCAAAATCTAAGAACTGTGGAGCAGCCCTCACCAGACATAGAGCCTGCCCACCCTGACTGTGGGCTTCTGCTGTCTGTTGTTTTTCTTTTTTAATTGTTGCTGCCTTTTAAGCTAGGCCATCCTATTCAGCAACTGCAACTCTGCCCCTACCAGCAGCAGACAGGCCGCAAGAGCCGAAGCCTGAGGGAATTCTGTTCTTTCAAAGCTACTAAGGAAACTTATTTAAATCTCTGCCCTACTAAAGAAGTCAAGAGTCAAAGGTTGAGGTAGAGTACTGCTTCCTAGAGAGGCTGAACAGCAAACAGCTCATCTTTAAGAAGTCCATGTGCGCGTTCTCACCCCTCCTTATAAACCCTTCTCCACTTGGCTCCTCCCTACAACTTCCTGTCAGCTAGCTGCTGACCCAACCTCATGACTACAGGTAAATTTTATTTAATCAAACCCATCTCTGAATCATTAAATAAATGTTCCAGAGCATAAACAAAAGCAACACACCTTAAAATAATATTCTACAACAGTTGTCTGTCTGGGACTGCTAACAACACACATCTGTCCCTGGCCCACGACCCTAGGACAAAGCATAGTATGAGTTGAGACAAAGTGGACTGAAGGATTCGCATATGCATGGCCATATGGGTAAGATACAGGTAGTAGATATGCTATTTGTGGCAATTAAAATTAGCAAAATATTCAACATGTGAATCTGGACAAGTGATGCAGAGACAGTATTTTTGCAAACTATGCTATCATTTTGCAAAGTTAAACTGTAAGTTTAATATTGTTTAGAAATAAGACTTTTGTCCAGCATTGTGGCACATGCCTTTAAATTCTAGCACTTGGGAGGCAGAGGCAGGCAGATCTCTGTGAGTTCAAGACCAGTTTGTTCTACATTGTGAGTTCTAGACCAGCCAGGATTACATAGTGACATCCTTTTTCAAAAAGTCAAAAAACAAGTTTTTAAAGAAAGAAATAAAGCTTTAGGGGCTGGAGAGACGGCTCAGAGGTCCTGAGTTCAATTCCCAGCAACCACATGGTGGCTCACAAGCATCTACAATTCAATCTGGTACCCTCCTCTGGAAAAACACTGTATGTGTAATAAATAAATAAATCTTTAAAAAAAAAGAAATAAAGCTTTAAATGAAACGCTAAACATATCCTGTAGTAGATAGATAAATTAGCCGTGGTCTATCCAGACAGTGGAATAGTTATTCGGCCCTCAAAATAAATGATTTGTTAAGTGTGGTGGTTTGAATGAGGATGACTCCAATAGAACCCTGTGTTTGGATGCTTGGTCTCCAGTTAGTGGAACTGTTTGGGAAGGATTAGGAGGTGTGGCTCTTTTGGAGGATGTCTGTTGCTGGGGATGGACTGAGGTTTTCAAAAGCCCACACCAGTGTCTCTCTGTCAGCCTGCAGCCGGAGGATCAACTGTGAGCTCTCAGCTACTCTCCAGCTCCCTGCCTGCCTGCCTGCCTGCCATCATGGTCCCTGCTGTGATGACAAAGGACTCATCCTCTGAAATAGTAAGCAAACTCCCAAGTGAATGCTTTCTTTCCTGTGAGATGTCTTGGTCATGGTGTGAGATGCCTTGATCTCACAACAATAGAACAGTAACTAAGACACCAGGCAAAGGAAAGTCACAGAGAACTCTCAAATACATATTACTAATTGAAAGAAGCCAGTCTGAAAAGAATATGTTTGGTATGGTTTCAACTATAAAACATTGGGGAAAGGCGAAAAACATCCAAAGAAGAAAAAGTCAGGGGTCTTCAGGCTTAAGTGGGAAGAGAGGGTGTGCATAGGGAGGGCAGAGAACATGGAGGCAGCGTGCAGTACTGATGAACAGATGTCATTCTCCTGTGTCCACCACAGAACACTCAGTGCCATAAAGCTCCCATGCTCTTGCTGACTCTGGAGTGTCTCTCCCTGTTCATCCCTGTGATATCCCCTTATGGATTCTCATACCTGGGAGAGTTATGACTGAGATGAGGTATGTGAAAAATCCAGGGGTGGGGGAGACATTTCAGTGGTTAAGAGCATGGCTGCCCTTCCAGAGGACCCAGGTCGCATTTCCAGCACCCACGTGGTGGCTCACAACCATCTGTAACTCCAGTTCCAATGGAACTGCACATACACAGTACATATACACACCCAGTAAAATACTCTACCCGTAAAAGAAATATATAGCTTCTCTTGAAGAAAAGAAAAATCTATGTATTTTCTGATGAGATTTGCCATGAACTAAAGCATCTCTTTAGAAGAAATTATTAAAACAACAGTCAATACCAGGGTATATCTTTCTTGCTTTCCTGATGGATCTTCCTGCAACCTTACCGCTTGGATACCAACATCCCTGTGACTCCCTTGGCCAGGCTATAGGCAGGGCCTTCTCTGGCTCTGCCCCCACAGCTTTCTCCAAACATCCCTGGCACCCAGGGCCTGGACTCCCATGCTAGTGGCTTTGAGGGCAGAACTGAACAGGTACTCACCAGGCAGATAAGTCTCAGCCACCTTCTTCTCAGGGAGGAGGGGGTTACTGATGGAGCAAGTCAGGCCCTCCACAGCCCTGTCCTGGGTAGTCACAATGGATACCACAGTCAAGAGGCCAGTGCTGGCTATGGCTGAGAAGTGAGTCTCAGCAGGCACTGGCTGTCCTTTGAGATCCAGCCACTGCACACTGGGCTCCGGGAACCATCCTGTTGAAGTGCACTCAGCCCATATGCTTTTGTCCTGGGTGTAAGTCACATGGATTCTGGGTGATGAGCCCAGCCCTGAAGGAAGAGACATCAGTTCAGATCCTGTAGCTACAGTTGCTTCCATGGGGATGTCTTGCAGGTATTTAAAAGGTTCTGTACTCTTCATGGGCCACCTATCTGTGCAGTTACAATACTAAGGCAGCACTGTGATTCCAAATAAAACAGATGAGTGAAGTAGGGGAGGTTTAAGGAGAAAAACAAAGTTTCCCATTATGTGTGGGAACAAGGAAGGAGTGGGGTCTGTCTGACCACAAAGAACAAATTCTGCTAACCTAGGGAAACTTCTCCATACCCCCCAAATAATCTCAATCTCTCTCTCTTTCTATTTCATTCCCATCTGTTTCAGCCTCTCCCTCTCTGTCTCTCTTCCTGTTTTTCTTTGTTTTCTCTCCATATTCCTGCCTTCCCTCTGTTTTTCTATTTTTTACTTTATTTCTCAATCTGTCTTTTGCTCATCCTGTCTTCCCATTTCTTTGACTCCACCTCCAAGCTGTTTCCGGGTCTTGACCCCCGCCTCCCGCATCTGTGATCTCTTTCTAGTACAAGGGTGTGATGAAGGGAGGGCAGATGGAAAACAGAGCTCTATTCAGAACTACATCCTGGGGACATATGATACACAGAGCCTTGAGAAGATAGTCTTGCCTGGAAGCAGGTGTCACCAAAGCTTCTTCAGATTTAGGGCTCAGGCCTCTGGAGGCCATGGTCTGGCATTGTTGCTGTGGCTAAGAGAAGCTCCCAAGCAGAACAAAAGACCTACACACCAGCCCTCACCTGCCACCTTCAACCACAGGGTGGCCTGGCTGCGAGATGTGTGTTCCTTGAAGCCGCAGTGATAAGTCCCGTTATCAAACATGGTGACATTGCGTATCCTCACAGCGGCCTCTCCTCTGACCATGTGGTTGCCGATGAACGTGGTCCTTCCCCTGTATTCCACCATCTGCTCTTCATACATATCCTCCCCGTTCTTGTGCACATGCACAGCTGGCGAGGGCTGGTCCCTGTACCACCTCAGCTCCATGCCCTCAGCACTGATGTTGGGTGACAATTTGCACGGCAACTCTTTGTCTTGCCCAAGTATGGCCAGAAGTGGGTCAGGAGGTCCAAGGACACGGAAATCTGATTTTCCTTAGAGATGCAAATGGAAGTGCTGGGTTAGGTGACATGAAGGAGGCAGGGGCTTCCCCTGTACCCACTTAACTCCTTGAGGGCATGAAGGTTCCCTTAGTCCCGAGTCTCAGTTGGAGAGCTCAGCTTGACTTTGGGAACCCCTAGAGTCAGGAAGGTACTGTCGGAGGGACTACCGTCCTACCGTTCCCAGCAGGCAGGAACTGCAGTAAGATGAAGGTGACTAAGAAGCTTGGCAGAGTAGCAGAATCTCCATGGTGTGGCCTTGCCATCCCTATTGGGAACACATAGGATTAGACACACCTCAGACATGGTGAAAGAGAAGCTAGGAGTCTAACAGGGGAGAGGAAAAACAGCCTAGGCTGCTCATTCACACCCCACACGAGTTCTTAGTTTCCACAGACTCCATCTGCACGAGTCCGCAGATGGCCCCGTGTGTGAGTGAGCGGCACTTTACCACCTACTCGGGGTGGGTTTTACCCAAGCTCATGCCCTTAGCAGGTACGTGGAGAAAAACCAGCTCCAACAGGCAAATCTCAGGTCATCAGGGCCCTGTAACACCCTCCACTGTTCAATTGCCCTGAAAGAACTTACCCAGCCCCGCCGGGGTTAGAGGACACAGCTCCCTCTTGGAAGGATGGGCACCCCTCAAAACTCAATAATTTAGTGTAGTAGTATAACCTGTTTAGAGGCTAAATTTTGGGAACAGATTGGCCAGTCCTAAAACGTCCTTTCTGGTACAGCCGTAGACTGTCCTTCATATCTAGTATGTCATATCAGCAAGGACTCTGTGTGTTTTGGTTCTTGCCTACTAGGACAGTTGTGGGGACTCCCTGACCATTGAGTATGGGGAGAGGTCCAAACTAAAACATCGAGGAGTGCTGTTAAAGAAGAAAACACCCACTTACCTCTGTGCCTGCTTTCCAGGGTGGGTTCTGATGCCTTTGAGGGAACTGGTTTGTTTCTCTGAAAACTCCAGTCAGGGCACAGTTCAAATGAGCCTGCCTGTTCCCCTGTGGTGATAGAAGAGGGAGGCCTAGAAACCAAGAACCCACAAGCTCACCAGCTTCTGTTGAGTCCTGTTACTGCAGTTGGAAAATAACCGGCTCTTACCTTTAGGAAAGTTGTAACAGAGAGAAAAAAAATCTTCCTAAGAGGCATGGGCAGCTGTACTGAGCACAGAAGATAAAGGCACTGGTAAACAGGGGATAAGAGAAGGCATGGCAATGAGGGGAGGTGGCCTTTAGGAGAGTGGCATCTGGGTCAGGTTGGGGCCACTAGGAGTCCAAGAGGAGGACATAGATTGTCAGTGCTGGGATCCTTGCCAGTTGTAGGTGCTGGGGAATTCAGATAACATTCTCTGGCTTATTGAAAACTTCAGAGCAGCCACATTAGTTCTGCTGCCTTTGGGGACATTGTGACGTTGATGTCGAAGGTGGTCTGGTTCTGGCATTGGCTGTGGAGACTCCTGTCTGTCCCTTATCACTGTAAGGTCCTGGATGCTTACTTGCTTACACTTTCCACCTGTCACTTGAGAGAGGTACTGGAGTATTTGTCCTACTCTTCATTCTTATTTACTTAAAGGTTTTGTTTTCCTGGAAGCTTTGGGTAAGAAAAGAGCTGCCAGGCTGGGCCGCTTGGCTCTATGCATAAAGGACTGTTCACTTTAATTCAGTAGATGGCGAAGGACACTTAGGTGCCCTAGGCCTGTGGCTATTGAGAAAGCCCATCCCTGTGGCCCTCTCCGCATGCCTCCTTGGGGGTGCACCCTCTGGTAAACAAGTTATTTTATGTACAAACATGAGGGGACGTCACATGAAAGCATGAATTGTGTTAACTGGGCAACACTGCCAGTTGAAATTCATCTTACTTGTCCCTGTGAGTCAGTAAGAAGGGCTTACAGTTTACAAATCTAGAGAGAGCTCCTGAGCAACCGGGATGGAGTACTGAGATCCCTCAGAAACTTGAAAATAAAACTACCATATGAATCGCCCCACCACTGGGCATATACTCAGAGGAATTTACACCAGTGTGCAAAAACCGACAGGTGCACTTCACATTCACGACAGCCAAGAAAAATGAAATAGACCCACCCCATTGAAGGATGAATGGATAGGCAATGGGGGAACTCTACAGCCATAGAAGAGAGTGAAGTCTGTCATTTACAGCAATATGGACAGAACTGGAGATTATTAGGTTAAGTAAAATGAGCTACGTACAGAAAGGTGAGTACAGCACCGTCCTACTCATACATGGAAACTAAAATGTTGATCTCAGAGAAGTTGGGAGTGGAATGGTGGCGAGTTTGGAGAAAGAAGGGGGGAGACAGTGGTGATCAGTGGATGCTGAGTGACGAGCTAAATAGTAGCAAGAAGCCCTGGTCTACTAAAGCACAGAGAATCTATATTGATTATAGGTAGCTGCAGTAGGATAAGGGCTGGACAGATGGCTCAGTGGTTAGGAGTACTTGCTGTTCCTCCAGAGGACCCTAATATGGTTCCTAGGATTCATTCAGCTCACAACTGTCTGTAACTCCAGCTCCAGGGGATCCAACACTTCTGGCCTCTGTGGATACTGGCACTCACCCGCACATACACATAATTTATAATAAGTAAAATTTCCTTTTAAAAACAGACAGCACAAATGTTTGAGAAGATAGATGTTTGCCCTGATTTAATGTTACACACATGCACATTATCAAAACATCACAGGTGCCCCATAACTATGCATAATTTTAATATACCAGTTAAAAATAAATTCATTATTATTATCGATGTTTAAAGTTTATTAAAGAATTTTTCCTGATCCTCCTAACTCCACCTCTCAAATGCCGGGATTCCAGGTGTCCACCATCTACAGGCCAGTAGGTTTGGAGCTGCTTCCCCCAGGCCCACAGGAGGCAGACTCAGAGCACACCCTGTTTTGTTATTGGTCAGACCTGCGTGCACTCTGCCATCCAGGATGATGCATGGTCCAGAGATTCCAGCTGAGACCCGAAGAGCTTCAGACATCCAGCCACCTGCCTCAATTGTGAAGGTTAAGTCCAAGGCCATAAAACGCTGTAGCCAGTAAGAATTCAGCTAGCTGGTTTGATGAGGGAGGGGGATTAAAAGTGGATGTGGAATTACCGGATTACATAATGGTTTCAGAATTTTATTTTAAGGCACTGAAAATATTTTCAGATTAGATATAGGTGCTGGTTGGGATATGGTGTGAATGTCTTAAGTGCCAAAGTGGTTTGTTTTATGCTATGTGAATTTAGCTCCAACGAAAAAGAAAAGAATAAGAAAAAAGGAGGTGAAGTGAAAAGTGGCACACGCTACCCTGTCTAGATGAAATTAATAAAAATTAAAAGAAAAATAAAAGTCTCAATTTTGCCCAATGGAATTTCTAGCCCTTGGCGCCCTCTGCGGGAACCTATGTGTCAGTACACCTGTATGTCCTGCTTATTTTGTTTGTTTTGTGTTTTTTTTTTCCTGGGGCCTCAACCAGGAAGAGGGTTTATTTGCACTAAGCTCCCTTTGGCACTCCCCATTTCCACCTGCAGCAGCTTTGCTCCTAAGGCCCTGAGCAGGGGGTCTGTGCTCTCCTCTCTTTCAGGTCCTCCAAAGTGGTCCCCAGGCTCCTGGGCCTCACCAAAGAGCTTCACCCAGGCAGGCACAGTATCAAATGCCCTGGCTTCCAGCATTTTTGTAGCAACTACAAGGGTATGTCCTGAGCCTTCTCCTCACTCTGTGCCCATTGCCAGGGCTGTAGCTGCCCCTGCTACATACATAGCACACATAGTAAAGATTCCCCCAGTCTTCAGGAACGTGCAGTCATGGGCCCACAGGTCCACAGCAAGGGGCGCCAGGGTGGAGGGGGGGAGTTCATTTACCCACCTAATAAAGAAAACGTAGAACAAAAAAGTGTTACTAGGCATCCTGGGAAGCCAGAGAGGAGCCACAGTATGATACCCAGGAAATCAAGGTCCCCTCTTGGAGTTCTTGGTCTCATTAATAAAAGAATGGGCTCAAATGGAAGGCCAGGGACAATTGATGTGAGTTTTAAAGAAAACCCCTTGGATAGGCAAGCCGTAAATCTAGCAGTGGCTTAGAGGATGAGGATGGAGGAGGGAAGTGGGGAGAAAGGCCATGTTATTTGTAATAAGCTGGAGGTCAGTACTGTGAGAAAAGAAGAAGAAGAAGAAGAAGAAGAAGAAGAAGAAGAAGAAGAAGAAGAAGAAGAAGAAGAAGAAGAAGAAGAAGAAGAAGAAGAAGAAGAGGAAGAGGAAGAAGAAGAAGAAGAAGAGGAAGAAGAAGAAGAAGAAGAAGAAGAAGAAGAAGAAGAAGAAGAAGAAGAAGAAGAAGAAGAAGAAGAAGAAGAAGAAGAAGAAGAAGAAAACTATCACAGGTAGCCAGCTCACCTGAGAACCAGTATTTCATAAACCTCTCCCACTGTTCACCTCCCCCAGCAGGTAAACTCTCGTTTGTCTGAGGTCTTGTGCCATCTGGCTGACTAGTCTCTTTGAATAGTCAGCACTGAATTACTGAAGGACAACTGGCAGGAAGCTAAAAGTTCACCACAGGGCAATTACTAATTAGTTGTTAAACTCCAGCTCAGGCTCTGAGGCAGAGAAAACATTGTTGATGGTTAGAATTAACATAGGAAGGTTTTTTGGTTTTATTTATTTTACTTTTTTTTGATTCTTTGTGGATTTCACATCATGCATCCAGATCCCACTCATTTCCCCAACCCCTCAATTCTGCCTTCTGCCCTTTCAACCTCTCCCCAAGCACAAAACCAAATTTAAAAGAAAAACCAAAACCCAAAAAACCAACCAACCAACCAACCAACCAAACAAACAAACAAACAAACAAACAAACAAAATTCTCAGTGTGGAAGCTGTAGTGTGGCCCAGTGAGTCACATGGTGTACCCCTTAGTCCATACATGTTTACTTGTAAGTGTTCATTGCTTTGAGTCATTGGTCTGGTTCCAGGGTTGGTCAGTCTGCCAGTTTTCCCTCATCATCACCTGGGAGAACTCTCCGGCACTGCCCAGGCTAGCTCACCCAAACAGTGAGGAGCAGGGCCGGTTCTGCTCGCAGGCCCTCAGGTCCAGCTCACCTACACTCACACAAACAGTGCCAGCTCCACTGTTTTGCTCAGGTGTGATGCAGGGCCCACTCTCCAATTGCTGCAGAGGGTATAGGGGGGGGGGGGGGAAGGAAGCTGTCATGCCCGCAGGGCTGGCTCACCTGAGTCCCTGACAATAGTGTCAACTCTAGTATGTAGCCGAGGCAAGATGTAAGGCCCGCTCTCCTGTGTGCTGCCACCTGTGAGGAACAGGCTTGGCTTTCCCACTCTCACGACTCATGAGGCCAGTTCTCCCACCTGCCAGGTGGCAAGTAGTGAGGAAGGGGAGGACACCTTTCCCTCACCCATGTCACCACAGGGCAGACATGGGGGTGGATGGGCTCTCAGGCTCGGCTCACCTGTGTCCCTGCCAACTGGGTCATCTCTACTGTGCTGCCCTGGTGAGGTACAAGGCCTGCTCTTGCAAGTGAAGCAACTGATGAGGGACAGTGCCAGCTCTCTCACTCTCATAACCTCAGGGCCAGATCTCCTACCCACAGGCAGAGAGGGCGGGGGTGGGTGGTCTTTACTCCCTGACCACTCCACTTTACGGCAGATGAGTGGTGGGGCCAGATCTCCCCTTTTGGGAGCTGGATCACCTCCATTCCTCCCCCTCTCTAATCCTTAAGGAACTACAGGGTTATACTAAAGTTGCAAGCAAATGTTTAGTGGCACATGCCTTTGCAAAACCATTGATCAAATTTCCCATGTTGTGTATGATCCTGGGGGTCTAGACCCCTCCCTTAGTGGCTCTATTCAAACCTCACAAGCAGTAACCAGGCAATGACTGTCCAATAGACTACATACAATTCTTCTTTTAAGGGAGTCAAATATTTGTTGATACTCTCAAGTGATAGGTAGATGCCTTCCCAACTGGATATGAGAGGATTGGGTTTCTAATACCCTCCTTCTGGAATCTCATGACTGAAGTCATGGCTCTGAAAG